AGAAAATTACAGGCCAATATCCCTCATGAATATAAATGCAAAAATCTTTAACAAAAATCTTAGGCAATAGAATCCAAAAGCACATAAATAAAAAAATTAACAAGGACTGAGTGGGATTCATACCAGGTATGCAAGGATGGTTCAACTAAGAAAATCAATCAGTGTAATTCACTATATTAACAAAGTAAATAATAAGAGCCATATGATCTCAGCAACTGAAAAATGCAATTGACAAAATATAACATCCCTTCCTGATAAATGTACTCAGCAGAATTGGAATAGAAGGGAATTTCTTCAAAACAGTGAAAAGTATATATGCAAAACCGAGAGCCAACATCATTCTCAATTGGATTCAGAAATTATTGTACATTCACACAATGGAATACTACACACCACACAGGAGCAAAGATTTTGTAAATTACTACCTAACTTGGGAGGGACTGGAGAGCACAAATATTGTATAAAACCATTATTGTAGAAAGAGTATAAGGTAAGTCTAAGGGCTAGGAAAACACCCCATTCTTCTTCCTCTGGCTCCAGAATTACAGAAGAGGCAGGGGCGGATGGGCTGTGAGCTTGAGGTTTTGTGTTTGTTTGTTTGTTTGTGGTAACGAGGTGGGTGTGTCAGAGACAAAAAGGGCAGGGTTCAGGGCTATTGTATAAAAGGTTGCCATGAGTCACAAGCAATTGGACTGCACATAACAACAACAAACAACATAAGAAAATCAAGGACATATTCAAACGTTTTATTTCCAGAAGAGTGTGATAAAGGGGACTTCCAGAAACAGCACTTAAGACCAACTCAGAAAGTGGAGGAAATGTTCCAGACACATCTTGTGTTTTGAGTCAGACTAAATCCTCCTCATTTAGAAGTGAGAATGGTAAAACTCTGTCTCAGGTACTTTAGACCTGTTATCTGGAGGGACCAATGTCTGGAGAAGATGTTCTACTTGTCAAAATTTCTCATTACTGGGCAGTCAGAGCCAACACATAGCTGACCTGACCCACCAGTAGGTTTTTGGAGGCTGTAAACTGGCATCCACTCTTCCTAAACAACACGCCTCTGGAAACTATGAACTTGGATAAACATCGATAGTTGTTGAGGAGCTTCAGGCCTTTTGTTCATAAGGTTGCTATGGGTTGTGGTAGTGCAATCATCAAGAAAAATCCCACAGGAAGCACATGGCTCAAATCCACCAGCTGTTCTGTGGAAGAGATTCTTCCCATGTGATGAAATGAAAACACACCAGAGGGTAAGCTATGGGTTGGTTCCTACTCTAAAGTGCTCAAGAACAAGATTTCCCATCTTTCTCCTGCAAAGCCTCTGGTGAATTCCAATCAGAAGACAGTACAACTCTCTATAGACTATGCCAGTAGCGAGTCAGTGAGAAAGGGGAAGACCAAGAGTGCAACAATGGGTTGAGGCATAGCAACTATTGTGAGGAGGGTGCAGAGCTTTGTTCCTTGTACACAGAGTCACTATGAGTCAGAATTGGCTTCACGTCACTTAACAACACCTAACACTAACAACACATTGATGAATGTTCTGGAAAAAATTGCTTTCAAAGACATTACATGAGGAAAGCAACATGACTGGTCAGTGACTTTGTGGCTGCTTGGCAAATCTGGCATGCTAGCGGCATCCAAGAAGGGAACATGGTGACTGTCTTAGTAAAGAAGCCGCACAGGTGACCAGTAAGTCTTTTAGGCATCTCTCCATTTGACGACACAAGTTTCACTTCTTTCCTCTGTGCCAAGCTGTGTCAAGCACTATTAAGAAGGAAAGATGGGAGAGGAGACTTAATGGACTAGGGCTTTGAAGAGGGATCATTCTCATAAAGGGTCCAAGCATGACCAGAAAGGCCTGTGTCAAGTAGAAAGGACAGTCAAAGGGATGCGAGGTAGGATGAAGGTTTTAATGCTATGTGACCACAGACAGGGGCTAGTAATGGGTGGAGTGAATTAGATGGGTGGAGATGTGTGCATAAAAAAGGGAGCTGGTCAAGATAAAAAACAGAGACAGCAGAGTGAGCAGAATCAGCATTAAGGGGCTCTGGCTGCTGTCACTTCTGGCAGCACAGTGACTGTTGTCCTTGTCTAATATTACCTGGGTGGCAGGAGGCATCATCCTGCCATCCTGCCTTATTCAGCCTTTGCCACACACCCAGCTTTGGTTCTGAAGGTGTTGTGAGGCTTGGCAGGCCAGCTTTTCCCTGGATTGGCTCCCTCTGCTCTTCTGTCATTTCAAGTATGTAGAAAGAGCCCTTAGGTACTCATGCTATAAGCATTCCACCCGAATCTCTGTGTCCCAGAGTCGTGGTCTCTTCGGCTACCCCTTAACCAGTGACCTCCCCAGTGTCATCGCCAGGATGACTCACTCAACTTCAGAGCAGAGCCTTTCCCCTGTAAAGACCCTTTCGTTCTTCTAGAACATATGCAGTTATGTGACCTTAGCTTCGGTCACTTCAGGAATCTTGTCTAAAACCATTTTACTTACTGAAGATGAGCTAATTATTTGAATTTGCTCCAAAGCTTCTGTCAGGCTATCTTCAATCTCAAAGTCATCTAAGGAGAAGAGGTCCCCAGCTCTCGAAAGATCTTTTTGCCCCAGAACCAGTCTGAATAGTTGATGCATGATGAGATGTCTGGTGAGCAGCTGACTTTCTGGAGCCCCAGGGCCATGCGTGTCAGTTACTGGAGCTCAGCAAGACACGAACACGTGGCGGGAGGTAGAGCATGATCGGTCCTTCTCCTCCAGAACCGGAGATCGTCTTTGACACTCTCTGCAAAGGGAAATAAATGACATAATACCACCATTAGTGACTGGCACGATCTCAGGATGTCATCGTGATGCCCAGCAGCGAGAGAAGGGACCCTCGGAAATAAAACAGAGTAACAGATCTTGATTTAACGATCTTCTAATGAGCCCTTTCCTTATTTTTGTCTCAAAGGTTCCTGTCAGAAATGATTCAATTCCTTTAGAGTTTAATTTGAACTTCAAAAAAGCAGCATAGATCTTACACTTCTTTTCCTCTAATTTCTACATCCTTCTACATCTTTTCATGGCAAAAGGAAATGAGGGGAAAAGCACCTAAATAATAAACCACCAAAATGAAAAACCTGCACTTGACCCTTGCCAGACTTTCCCCAGACACAGATTCCCATGGGAATGAAGCAGAAAGGGGAAGAAAACAGAGATCAGAGGAGTCTGCTAGATTCACAGGATAGTTTCCTTTCTTCAAGAGTCCAGACACAAACCCAGGGCTGACTTTCTGGGCTCGGTTTCTCTGCTACACAAACAATAGAAGCTTCCTTGCATTCAGCCCAGAAGGTGATCTCAACACTCAACTAATTTTCTTTTATTTTATTTTATTATTTTTGTGTGCGTGTACCGTCAAATCAGATCTGACTGGTACAGGAGGAGATTGCCCCTCCTTCCCCGGCAGAGCATCTGGTGGATTCGAACCGTGTACCTCTGGGATTGTAGTTGCAGCTTCTTGCCACTAGGCCACCGGAGCTCCCCTGATTTTCATGTAATTAAGCAGTTTTTATTGTTTTTGTGTACCATAGAGTGTCAGCACCCACACAGAGCTGACCACCCGGCAGGTTTTCAGAGAAGGAGATTGCTCATCTTTCTCCTGTGGAGCCTCTGGTGGTCTTGAACTGCGTACCTTCTAGATTGCAGCGCACCTTCTTGCCACCAGGCCACCAGAGCTCCTCTAAAAAAGTCTACATAGGACTTTGGGGTAAGAGAAACCTTCACTGAACTAGGTCAACCTGAATTTGAATACTGGACTTGAGCAAGATAGTGCAACTGTCAAGAAAGCAGTAACAAACTAGCACAGACAGTAATTTAAAAGAAGTGGCTTCTCAGTCCAGAAAGACAGTTTCAAGAGACCTTCTATCAGGCTGGAGTCTTCTCTCTTCTTTTTCTGTGAAAGCTTTCTTACCAAGTTTAAATTTTTACTGGCTACTGTAGTTTGCCTCTTCACTCAGCAGCCTATACCTAAAATCTACTCCTTGTTTGAGAGTAAATGATAAGACTTTCTGGCCTTGTAACAAAGATGACTTTTTTAGTGAATAGGAAAGAAAGCTTTTATCTGTGTTAAACTTTCACTGAATCACTGCAAGGTTTGTTCTGAATTACAAACTCTTATTTTCCTGTTTTGTCTTCCTCTTTACATAATGTGCTGAATCAAAGTCCTTTTCCTCAGAGAGAGTTGATATCACGCAGGTCAACATTCAGCTAATGTAGGCAGCTCTTAGGTGCACCCTATTGTTGTGTGCTGCTGAGGTGGAACCCAATATAGCTGATCCCCCAGTTGGTTTTTAGAAGCCATAAATCCCATGGGAGGAGTGGCCCATCCTTCTATCTCAGAGCAGCTGGTCAATTCAAACAGCACGCCTGAGGGTCGGCGGAGCAACTTCTTAACACTAGGCCGCCAGAGCTGCACTATTGTTAGGTGGATCAAGCTGAGTATAACTCAGTCAGTGACCAATAGATCGGAACCTGGCCTTGTCCTCAACCATCCACAAGATCTCTGATATGCTCAAGCCCATTGTTACAGTCACTGTGTCAATCTATCACGGTGTCATGGGTCTTCTCCTTCTTCTTTGACCCTACAGCTTTCCCAGCATTGTCTTTTTCCAAGGGCTGATTCTTTCTAATAATATGTCAAAGTTTGTGAGATGAAGTTTCACCTTTAAGGAGGACCCTGGCTGCACTTCCTAGAAGACACACTTGTTTATTTTTGTGGCAGTTCTTGGGATATTAGGTACTCTTCTCCAACACAATTTAAAGATACTGATTTTTCTTCTGTCTTCCCTACTCATTGTCCAGATTTCAGATGCATAGGAAGCAACTGAAAAAACCATGGCTTGGATCAAGGCACCCTAGTCTTTAAACTCACATCGTTGCTCATTAGCACTTTGGAGACATCCTTGACAGGAGACTTCCCTAACATATGTCTTTTGGTTTCTTAAATAGTGTTATCATTGGTATTGAGTGTGGATCCAAGTACAATGAAATCATTGACAACTGCAGTACTTTCTACATCTATCATGATATTCTAGTTATAGAAAGACTTCAGGTCTTTTGTTCATAGAGTTGCTATGAGTCGTCATCAACTCAACCACATTCAACAACAATAACAGCATGACGGTACCTATTGGTCCAGTGGTGAGAATTTCTATTTTCTTGATATTGAAATATAATCTATATTGAGGGTTGTAGTCTTTGATCTTTTTCAGTCAGTGCTTCAAATTTCCCACAAATAAGGTTGTGCCAAGTTATCTGTAGTAATTTAAAATAGTGCAATTAGTGTGCCATGTAATACTGCCTAGAAGCAATTTTTTGCACTATCAACCCACTTTAGGAAAATATTGCCTAATATTCCCCTGGCCTTGTCTAGGTTCCAGGTCGTGTTCCAGATGGTTTGCTAACATTTTCTTGTTTAATCCTCATAACTATATGAGATTAGTATCTCTACTTTATCATCATCTTCATTCCACAAGAAGGGTAAATAACTTGCCCAAGTCACACAACTAGGAAATTGAAAAAGTGGGATTTGAACAAAGGAATCTAATATGATACATGAAAATTACCACTAGGCTGCAGTTAAGAGTAAAGATTTCAAAGCATTCATAACATGCAGGGATAGACAGGAGGTGAGTCATAGAGCAGAAACGTATTTTGGTAAAGAAATACTATACTGGTCTTCCCTGTGCCTCTTCTTAGCTTCCACTTTCACAATGCCTGGTGTGGAGCACTAAACTTGTGCTTAAATTTGAATGGTTACTTTATGATGCCCATCAAGTGTAAAAGAGCTCTTTGAGCCCTTGTCAGAAATGTCAAGTTTTTCAACACACACTGAAAACTTTCACTAATGGATCGAAGTGGGGTGGGAATGGGGAGAAATAAGGACTCATACCAGATATTCAAGAATATCTGAGGGGGGAAACCACTGGGAACTAGAAAATGAAGTCTAAGGAGGTGAAAGAGAAGAGAGAGAACGAGAGCCAGCTCTCCTATATGGAGATAATAAGGAGGAGCTCTGTGGGAAGAATTGGCATTTGCTCTCGTTGGTTAGAACTGTCTCTTAGAGTGATGGTTTGTATGGTGCTATGATGCTAAAGCTATCCCACTGGAGTCTCCAATAGCAGCATGATCACGCTTGGTATACAGGTGTTAGTGGAGTTTTCAGACTAAAACACGCAAGGAAGAAAGGGCTGGCAATCTGCTCCCAAAAAACCAGCCAAGGACAGTCTTACAGTTCACAAAAGAACAGCACCAAATCCAATGCTGAGAGATGAATCTTTAGGTCGAGGGCACTCAAAAAACACACTGGCAGCAATGAGTTGATTGGATGTTGTAATTACTTAATTATATTATTTAGTGGCAATTAATATTATGAAACAAGAAGTCTAGAAATGATTGTATGGAGGCCTAGTGATAAGAATCTGCACTGCAATCCCAAAGGCACACAGTTCAAATCCATCAGCTGCTCCATGGGAGAAGGATGAGCAGTCTCCTGTGCAATTACCAGAAGGTCAGCTATGGGTCAGTTCTGACTCGATGGTACACAACAACATGAAATAAATGTTACTTGTAAAATTGTCCTATAAAAAGAATATATCCAGTGGTTGCAATAATGGATTGAGGTATACCAAGGATCATGTAAATGGTAGAAGACCAGGCAGTTTACTTATACGTAGGACACTGTGGTCAAAAGCTATCTGAAGGACAATAAGCAACTGACAGGAAGATTGCAACAAACTGCATTTGATTGGCTGAGAACTTACCAAGAGGAGCAGGTATGGAAGCTCCAGGTGACAATGTTACAAGCTTCATGACTTTATGCTCATTATTTGATATTGCTTTGTTTTTCTGATATATTATCAAACTTTGTACAAACTTTGCACTGCTTTCTAATTGGAAAATCCTTACGGTTCCAAAAGACCTGAGGAATATTTATAATCTTGGGTGTGATAGCAACACTTCGAGATTGCACACAAACTTCACATCAACAATAACATGATGGAAGAAATGTCTGATAATAGGAAAATTTCCAAAAGTAAATGCATTGATAATTTAAGTATATGAATTGATAATTTAAGTATACCCACACAAAAGGATATTATATAGACATTAAAAAATAACTTAAAATATTTATTGATATTGGAAACTGCTTAACACATCATTTAAAAAGGAAAGACAAAAGTAAATTATAAAAAGACTTCAGTTTTGTGTGGATATGTGGATTGCTATAGAAATATTTTTAAAAGAGGCATCTGACAATACTAAGTGATTTTTATCATATTGTGATTAGCTTATATTTCTTTCCTTATATTCTATATTCTTATATTTTCTTTTTCTGTGAACCGCTTTTAATTTTATACTCTGAGAATAAATCCTACATGCTGTTTTTACAGTTTTCCTTTTCATTTTTGTGATTTGAATTAGTTTTCCACTCATTCATGCACATTTTGTTTTCTAGCACTAATTAAAATACCTGTGATGTAATCACACTTCCCTGCTTCCTCCCTGTGATTCTAATTTCCACTAGTCCTTCCATACTAGCCTTTCCTCTCTGTAGTGTTATTGTACCCACCATCTCCTAAAATTTAAAGCAGGAAAGGGGAAGAATCCAGATTAGGTAAATTCTAAGTCCTTCAACAAAGGCTTCTTAG